ACCATGTTGTGGAACTTATTTCGGGAAAAGATGCCAATTATCTACATCACATATTAAGAACAGCGCACTTTATTCTGAGCAATGAGTCGCGCAGAGAAAGTCCGTTACATTGCTGAATATGCGACAGATTTATCGAAGTTTATTAGTGCAGTGATATGCGTGATACACTTTATCGATACAATACATGCTTAAACTCTGATTTTTCATTCCGTAGAATTCTGACATTTCGTAAGTGTTGCTACTAAAAAAGTTCTCCACCGAAAAAGAGACAAATTTGAACCATTTGAGGGCAATAAATAATAAAATGCTACGTATTTTTTATGTTTCACCTACAAAAAGGTAAATCTAAATATTTACTTATACAAGTCACCTAATACAAAAATAACAAATATTTCAATATCACGAACAATATATCTAATTAACTTTAATTACTTAATATTTTATTCTTTAGCTGGCATCACTGTCTACTAATTCCAGGTTTAAAAAACCTTTTAAAAAAATGTTAGCTGTCACGTCGCGTCTGTCACATTGATTGATTTTCATTCGACTTCTTTGAATGCTCGAATGCGCATGTGTTCTCGGTGTTTGCTGCTATTTGTTGTTATTATCTTGTTATATTTGTTAAGTTTCTGTTATTCTGTTAAGTTTTTTCTTGTTGACCTTTCGTTTTGTGATCGTTTGTTGATTTTTATAAACGTTATGGAGCCACAACCTGGCCCTTCCCGGGAAGCAGCCCCATCTGACAGAGCACAAGGCTTAGACTTTCTTTCTCCCAGAAAGAAGCGTCCTCGTGGTGCTTTTACGCCCAACGAAAAGACCATAATTCTAAATATTTACAAATATAATATAGAAAATTGGCCGCAAACAACTGATTGGAGTGCAACGGAATGTGCTAAAAAGACTTCTGAGATGACTGGCGTGGGTCTGTCAAGTGTCTATAAAATTACCAAAGAATATAAAGACACAAAAGAATTTCAAAAGCCGAAAAAGAGTGGACCTCAACTATCTTTCATACAAAAATTTGACGAATTCACTTTCGCCGCAACTCGACGAAAGGTTCACGCGTTTTTCTACAGGAACGAGATTCCGACTATTGAAAAGGTAAAGTTATTGCTAATTCTTTAACACCTCGTTGCTGACATCCCCCATTGTTTTAAAACTATACTTTAACCTGTGTTGCCTGTCTACATTTTAACTGTAATGTAAATGCTTATTTCAGATTCACCAAGAGATAACTGGTGATCCAGACATGCCTGTTATGTCGAAATCAACATTAAGAAAAGTATTGAAGCATTTAAATTTTAAATACACAAGTCGCAAACGTCGAAGTGCGCTAACAGATCGCAAGGAGATAGTACTATGGCGTCAAAAATACTTGCACCAAATTAAACAATATAGAAGAGAAGGCAGGCTTATATATTACCAGGATGAAACGTGGGTAAACGAAGGCAAGTATTGAATTATGTGGTAATTAACTTTTTATAACCTATCTTTTCTTCAAAGTATTAGTCGGAAATCGAATTCTGTACTTATGTAATACTTAAATTAACTTTGTTAATAAATTTTTGTTACCAAAATGAATAAATAAATAAAGAAATCCATGTTTACAGGTAATATTTTTCAATTTATATGCATATATAACTGTCCTCATGTATAAGTGAAATATTAAATATATTTTTATTTTCAGGACATACCGTCAATAAAGTGTGGTGTGATACCAACATTCAATCTTCACGACAAGCTTTCCTCGATGGCTTGACAACAGGGCTTAAGGCACCAACAGGCAAAGGGGGGGCGACTTATAGTTAGCCATATAGGGAGCGAAGAAGGATTTTTGGAAGATGGTTTATTAGTTTTTGAGGCAAAAAAAGGCTTGGCAGATTACCACAAGGAGATGACTGGGGAAGTATTTGAGGAGTGGTTCACAAAAATACTTCCAAAATTAAAACCAAACTCGGTAGTAGTGTTGGATAATGCTCCCTATCATTCGAGGAAGGTCGAAAAAGTACCAACGAGTGCATGGAGAAAAGGCGATATCCAAGCGTGGTTGACTTCAAAAAATTTAAATTTTGAAGAAAAAAATGCTAAAAGTTAATTTATTGGAAATTGTGGGTCAGGAGAAATACAAATATCAACAGTGTATTGTAGACGAGATGGCCACAGCACAAGGCATTACTGTGCTTAGACTGCCCCCATATCATTGTGAGCTCAACCCTATTGAATTGGTGTGGGCTCAAGTGAAGGGGCATGTCGCAAGACACAACAGAAGTTTTAAAATGGCGGAAGTTAAAAAACTATTACTGGAAAGTATAAGTAGTATTACTCCTGATAAATGGCAAGAATGTATCAGCCATACAATCAAAGAAGAAGATAAGATGTGCACTCTCGACGATTTCATTGACACAGTCGCAGACTCTTTAATAATTCATGTCAGCGATGATGACGATGATGAAGATAGTGATATAAGTATTAATGATGACTAAAGATTTTAATAAAAATATGTTATTTTTACTTGTGCATTTTTTACTGTTTGTAATGAAAAGGGACGTAATTATCACTCGCCGTAAAACCATGTAGAGTACCGCACTTAATAAAATGGATACATTTACTAACAAATAAAATGTATGTATAGACTCAGATGTTCAGACACGTATTGAAATTGAAAAATGTGCCCGGCCAAAAAGGTTTGTAATCTCTGACATGTCAAAAAATGATAGCTGTCAGAATTCTACGGAATGAAAAATCAGAGTTTAGAAATATTTATATGAAATTAATAATTGATTTCCTCCAAACTTTGGGAGCGATACATGCCCAGTCGTGGACCGTTGTCGACGGGCTGGCGATGTTCCTGCCTCCTATGGATACAGAATTTCCTATTATCGCTAAACTTAGCAAGTAGATGGGAGATAACCTCATTACCAGACCACATAAGCATCCACCCGCTAACCGCTTAACACCATTGCAGCTACCAGTCACCTGCATGCGTATTTTATAAATGAAATAAACTAGATGGTTACCTATCCCTTCGTCTGCGTACCAGAGACCATGAGGATTTTTCCTCTTGAATTTTCCAACTGTAACTATTTCCAACATCGTACATATTTCTCAAGAACGCAACAGCCATTAATAATTAAAGTCATTATAGTTTTTATTACTAATTTTGATAAATAATATTTTTACATTAAATTTTGTGATTATAATTCTCAATAAAAATTATTTTATCGATATAATGAGCTGACGACACTACGAAGGTCGTCACCTGCGCGGTGCGGGGAGTGGGGGGCCGCCAACGTGGCGTCGCTATGTCGGGCAGGTTACGATTTACACTCCACCGACTCAGCAGAAACTCTGCTCGAACGAGAAACGCTGATAATCCGTATCCACAGACGCTGCGTGAGAATTACATCGAGATTACTACGATACTAACGTTTCGTCTGCTTTATTGCCTCTTCTGATTAAATTAGAATGACTTCACTTTTCAACGAAGTTAGTCTAATTAAGTTAAAATCGCAAATCAATTAGTGTTGTCATAATAACCGTGATAAATCTGCTAAATTATCCTATATCTTTAAACGAGCAATTCTTGTATATATATACAATATGTAACGTAATTAACGCACACCCTGAGACACCCCAATTAGTATATTATGTCATAATCATAATACATACACTGAATTTTTAGTTAAACATTTTTATGCACTCATTATTTATCAAATTAGTTATACTAATTCCAGTTAAAAGTAAAAACCCAACCCCCCCCAAAGGTGGTTTAAAAAACCCCCAAATTTAAAAAATTTTTTTTTTTTTTTTTTTTTTAAAAAAAAAAAAAAAAAAAAAAAAATAACCATACCCCCTCTTTATTTTTTTTTTTACCTTCTTTTGTGAGAAAATCTATTACTTTGAGCCCTTTTTTAGTATTTTTTTAAAAATACGAAAATTTAATTAACTAATTGCACTCATGATTTTTTTTTAAATAACCAGTTCAGTTTTTTCTATAGAATATAGAACAATAAGGTCAAAAAATATTATTCATCAGTATGTAATTTGTATCTAAATGTAATTTCAAAAAAAAACCGAACAAAGCTCGGTTATCCTGGTACAAACCATAATTGGATAAACGAACTAATTAATTTAAATTAGGAATTAAACTAAATTACAAGTACTGGCCGATGTATTTTTGGTCAAAATTAAAAACATTCTGAGTGATGTAGCGGATCGTTTCTCATGCCACCACTTAAGTTTTATTTCTGCCGCCAAATACCACCACTTCTGTGTTCTGGTCTGAAGCGAATAGAAAGGAAGTATATAGTAATTACAGGTTGTGAGGTATTCCATCATAGTAGTTATTTGTTTTATGTTGGCTGCAAGTGTCCGTGCACTGCAGTAGTTCTTACCGGGAGTTCGTTAGTCACTTGTTATATAAAAAATTAGGTCATTGCCATACAAAAGTATATGATTGTCATAGTGCCACGCTGTACGCTCCATCAAATTCTTTCAACTGTGGTCTTTTGCTAAACCTCTAATACAATAAGCACTACGTCCGAGCATGGTAAGTTGTCGAGCTCAATGTTAATGCAATTTCTTCTGCCACTATTTGAGAAAGCATTCGGATCGTCGTTAATTAAATATAAGTTAAAAAACTAAACGCGATAAAATCTGTAAAATTTGTTTACTCCATACGCGTAAATTTAAGACAAGTTAACAAAAAAACTGGGCCCCATCGATAAAATTCTCTAGATGAAATAAGCTATCTTAAACGGTCACTTCTAGAGTCTTTTGCGTTCTCGTCTCTGTACTTATAATACGAGCAAGAGCATACCGGCCAACAATAAAGCGTCATATTCTGAATATATCTTTAGATACTGATAATGAACCCAGAACTACATCGATCACAGTATCCGTCGATCTCTTAAAGCACACCAAATCCAATCCATCAATATCGATCGACGACGTTGGTATGATAAGACCTAAAATAATACGTTCTGTTTTTTTTTTTTCAGGTTATGCAAATAATACGTAATGCGGAGACACTACGCTTACTGCCTTCGCACCGATACTTGTAAGAGCATTCTGAAAGCATACACCGATCATCACAACTGTTCAACAAAACCAAAACACGAAGACCAGTAAAATATATCAGAGACCGAAAGGTGTTCAGATTTCTTCCATTGTCGGGTGAAACACGAATTTTGTGAGTGAATTTATGAAATTGATACTTATTGGGGATCTAATATAAAAAAATAATAAATAGTGTGACCTCACGTATTTTAATATAATCGGTTGATTGTAGATAGAGCAAAATTATGTATTGATCATTTTTTTTAATTGGAAGTCATTAGTTCTAAAGATCAACTACCCAAAAATAACTGATTCTGAATTATTTTTTACGTTAATCGAAACGTTGAAAAAATGGATAACGTTTCTAATGTGACATTCAAAGTTTACCGTTTAACTCAATTACTATATTTTTTTATTCATTTTATTAATTTCGTAAAAAGTAACGAAGTTTTTTTCAAATACTATTTTGCCTTGTTATACCTGCGTTCTTTTAATTTTATTGAAACTCATGTGTGGGACGAATTATTATTAATTTTTGTAATGATATTGTGTAACAAATTTACTTGGGAAAATAATGCAATTGAAACTCAAAGAAATGTTTTTGTATATGATTTATTTTTAGCCCAAATTAAATTATAGATAACATTATAGGATAAAAAAGTTATCAATTTTCCCTGATTGGATATGAACTGTTTACTACTGTTTACAATAAAATAAGACTAAAAATCATCTAAACATTTACCATACGCTTGCACTAATGCATTAAAAATTACACAATTACACCTGTGCCTGGTAGGATTAATAAACAAAACAAAAAAGCTGTAAATATCTCAAAGATTTTATTTATGATTTGCAAAAGAAAAACCATGCGTTGTTTTTAATGTTGACGCATAAACAAAATCTATTTTAGTCAGATCTCTAGTCCAAAATATTCATTTTTGTGAATAAGCAAATTCGTCAACTAAGCTCAGATGTATTCATATATTCAGTTATATAATGTTAAATATAGCGGCATTAAAACCTTTTGTGAATTACCTCAGTGGACTGTATGTGATAGATTTAGCCAATAAGTGTTCATATTGTACGTTAACCGTAAGTCAATTCTTGTAATGTTTGGCGTCCATAAAATGTAATGTTTTAGGAACATCGATTTTCGGCCTACTTTGTTTTGTAATGTAGTAATTATCAAGTGCATTCACCGCTTATTGTTTTTATTGTTTTAGCGTTATTGCAGCTGATGTTGGTGCTATATATTATACCTGTTAAATAGCTCACTTTTAAAGCGACTTTTCTAAGAAAACATCTGCAACGTTAAACGAAAGTGATGCATGATATAAAAATAGCTATAATTTTAGCATGTTTCAAATCAACGAGATGCGGGATTGATCACACAGTTATTTTTAATAAAAAAATGTAGATAGATATTAGTTGTATAGTTATTTGTAGACTTAAAGTCAGTTACTGTGTTTGGAATGTGGATGTTGGACATCGATATTGTATAGCTCAGAGCATATTCACACTAGCTTTGACAACGCTCACTGAGAAAGCCTTGGGTTAAAAAAAATTCAAACCAAGTAACATGAACTCAACGTAGATTATAAAAGCGAACGGTCAAAACAAGTTTAGATTTACGGTCAGTTACAATTTATTTTTAATATATTGGCGTTAACGCAAAAGCTCGTGTGAATAAAGAATAATTGTAGTGACCTTTGCCAAATATTTGTACACTTGTAGCGCAACGCGTATTGTGTGTTGTAGGCGCTCGCCACGGCGTATCTCATGATCGTAGTTAAGTATAATTAATATATCTCCTGGTTGTTGAAACGTAATTAGATTAGTTTAAATATAACAGGATGCGTTCCTGTCAATCCATGTGGTCAATTATTTAAGGTCTAGAATTAATATAGGAGAAATGTTAGCACTGCGCTAAACACAACTTTTTTTTAAATATTACGAGTAAATCATAAAATGTACTTGTATGTAACATAACTAAAGAAAGAAATACGTACGGATTCTTGCGAAGCTTCTTTAACTGGCTCTTCCAAATTTATAGTTTAGATGCCAATATTCTGTTTTACTCAAAAATTGAAATAATAGTAAAGTAAAATCTAATTTAACTACAGGATAAAATAAAAGAGCATGTTCAATGAATGTTCTATCAAGGGAACAAAAATGGTGCAATGCCCGTTTAACTTGGAGCATGTTGACGAAAGAAAAAATTTCGTCAACATGCTCCATTCTTTGAAATCCACCAATGTACTCATACGTACGAAACGCGTTTTAATGCCATTTAATAGAGCAAAAATGATAGGTTAAGCTGTAAAATAGTTATGACGTGTTTTCTTATAAAAAATGCGTATACAATATACTATACAGGATAAAAACAATTTGAAAACAAGTTGTCTGTCAAATTTATTCCCCAACCTGCAGCTCAATACTCAAAAAATATATAAAAAATAACGTCAGTCTTAAATTTAGACCTCACGGGAATCTATTATACTCGAAATACTGTTGATAGATGATACTCCGTGGCTTACATTAATATTAAAGTTGAGATTGTTCAGTTTGTAAGAAAACTCGTCAACTCATACAGTGTGATGGATAGTTTAACAAATGTTAGGGCATATGATTATATTCAGGCACTGTTATCTTGTGGGATTGTCTTTAGATTTACAACGTTATTTTTACTATGCATGGTTGTTAGAGGCCATATATTTAAGCAGGGGCGCTCACTCCTAAATGATGTAATTAAATTATTTTATAGGTCAGTTTTCTATGCATGCATTATCATGGCGTCACGTACACATCATTTTGTTGATTACTATTTTTTAATTATTATTCGATCGCTTATTATTATTATCAATTAGTGAATTTTTCCAACAAATTGTGAAAAAATACCGTAAGTTAGGACAAATATGTGTTTTAATGTAAATATATAGATGAAAACATGTATGTAGAAGTACATAAATATTATTTATGTATTAAATTTGATATTGTTTTCAAAATTTAAATTGTTTTTGTTTCATTTGTTTCCTGTTTTGACCTTGACATATAAATTATCAATGACGACTTGCTCTACATCAAGTACGTTGAGCCGTATAGGAGCAACGTTTATTCAATAACTGAATTAGGATGAGAAGAAACCTGACCATATGTTATAAATCAATTTCGTCGAGTGATACCAGTGTTAAAAAAAAACATTACTATTCCATTCCAGTGCTGTAAGAATAGGCTAAAAGAAACTACATAAAATCTTGCGACACCAGATATAAGCTAATAAAGTAGTACTTATTAGTGTGTGTAGTCCCAGACCAATACAACGGATAAGCAAATGCCACTTTTGTAGACAATCCTTTTTTAAATGTTATTTATAAGAACTATACAACTGATGGGGGGATAAGTCGCTCGCGTCCGTAGGCTTTGACCACCTGTTCCTAGGCCTGTGCTAAATGAGCGACAAGCCGATAGCACAGACTCGGCTCCACGCCGTGGTAGCGGCGTAAAATATACTACCCCATATTTCGCACCATGACTAACCAAATAAAGGAAATGGCCCCGAGTTCCCGGCGCCCCTTTAATGGGGCAGGGGTGCGAAGAATCTCCGGGAGGAAAACCGGCGACGAGGTGCGCCACCCGTCACGTTCTGTCTCCCGGAGAGGCGAAAAGTGGATTGCAGAGGCCCGTCTGGCTACGTTGAATGTATGTGGGGCAATTAATGATAAAATGGATGAAGTATGCGATATGATGTATGATAGAGGAATAGATGTGTTATGTGTAAATGAGACGAAAAGGAAGGGGAAGGATGTCACTACACATGGCATGTATACCGCATACTGGTCTGGTGTAGACGAGATCGAGCGGGCATGCCAGGGAGTAGGTATCATCCTTTCAGAAAGAATGGGCCAATGTGTGAAAGAGTATGAATGTGTAAGCCCAAGACTGCTATGGATACGAATGAAAGTGGGCTTAAAGAAGTTGTTCGTGTTAGGGGTCTACGCCCCAGACATGTCTAAGCCCACTTATATCCGAGAGCAGTTTTGGGAAGTGGTGAGGATGGTGTTAATGAAGTGTAAGGGAAATGAAAATATTATTATGCTAGGAGATTTTAATGGAAGGGTTGGGATGAGGAGGCTTGGTTATGAAAGGATATTGGGAACGTTTGGTGATGAAAGTATAAATGAGAATGGTGAAAGTCTCCTCACCGTATGTATGGAAAAGAATCTCTTTGTAACGAACACTTGCTTTCGCCACAAGAGGATTCATATGTATACTTGGGAAAGAGGTGACGATAGAAGCATGATAGATTTCATAATTGTGGATGAAAGATTGAGGGGCGCAGTGGTGGATACAAGGGTTTACCGGGGTTCTAACGTAGGAACGGATCATTATTTGGTTTTATGACGAATCAATGGTCTATTCAGGCGTTGGCGTCATCGGTCATCTGTGTCTACCACTGCGTTACAGCGTATTAGAACAGAAAGGTTGCAAGATGAAAGTGAGAGAAACAAGTTCAAATGTAGACTGAAAGAAAATATAAGTGGTTTGGATGAATTATGTATGAAGGAGTTAGACTTGGAGAATGTATGGCAAAATGTAAAGAAAGGTTTAGTGCATGCAGCTACCGAAGTATGTGGTGTTAGTAAGAGAAAGAATGAAAGGAAAAATAATACGTTAGGTGGGATGATGAGATACGTTTGGAAGTTGAAGCAAAGAAGAGAGCATGGCTAGATTTACTAGCAACAAAGGCTGGTAATTCTAGCGGTACCAATGATGATATTGAAAGAAAAAAGGCGGTCTTTAGACATCTTAATAAGAGAGTAAAAGAAGTAGTTGAAAGAAAAAAGCAAGAAAGAACGGATAAGAATGATAGAAGAATATCGGATAACTTCCAGGCAAATATTAAAATGTTCTGGAAACTGGTAAGAACTGCCAGGGGACATTCAAAACAGCCTATGATGAATGCTATAAGAGACGAGAATGGCTATATTCTAAATTATGAAGTTTT